ACTTTAGTTTAATTCGTTTCTCCCACCCAAGTTACAGATTAGCAGCTAATTCCTATAATCGGTCACTAACCTGTAACTGTACATGTATATTTATTAAAATACATGTACGTACGTATATACGTACATTGTTAATCGCATGTAAGAAACGAAATTGAAAACGCCCACCATTTACATGTAACGTACATGTGTGTATCGATATCTGATTTTTTTTTGTTGACTTACGTAATTATTTTTTGAATTTGAATTTTCGTTCGAAAGTTTCGAATAGCCTAAATCCACAATTTTAATTTTTTCCTTGTGGATGAGGATATTATTATAATTAATACGAGAGCTTTAATAAAATTAGTCAACGTGCTATACCTTGCCAAATCATATCTGCATTATGTGTACTTCTTAATCATCACGTAAGTTGCTTGGCTAAATATGACTTGTCATTTCAAGACAAGTTAGAAAGTTTTGTGGGTAAATAATTTTAAGTTCCGCCATCGGCATACGTACTTTATAATAATCATCCTAATTTAAAGTCGTTGAGAAAATTTATATCATGCATTAAATCATGAAGCTACTACTATGCATACACTTACCTTTAGTAATTCCGCATATTTTCGTTATGGTTAAGTTTAAGTATTCATATAATATATACATGTATTTTGTGACAAATTTCTTATTAGTTTCTTCGGCATGCATGCTTATAGTCAGTGTTGTACATTTTGGATGTCCAAGCACTTTTTCGACTGTCCAAGTGTCCAAACTCTTGTATTATTAAAAAAAAATATATGATTATATACAACGAGAAATTCTAATTAGAGTCCAAACAGGTTATTTTAATAAAATTTTGAGTAAATTTGATTTTTTTTGTCAAAAATGTCCAATATTTTCCAAAGGCATGTCAAAAGCTGTCCCGTGACAACACCGCTTATAGTCACTTAGATAGAGGCATTTTAGAACTACAGTTAAATCTCATTTTTTACTTCTGCTCTATAAACTTCACCAAATGCTTCATTTCCAATGACTTTTTAATTGGAAAATTCGTTTCTTTAGCAAACTTACTAAATTGCCAACAATAATTCTAGGTGCAATTTCGGGAATCGAAAGTTTTTTATGATAAGATGTTTAATTTCAGAATCTTCACGATAGCTATCTTTACCCGATGAATAATTCCTTCATTATGTACACATTTTATTTCTTCTAACTAGACAATTTCGCAAAATTTGATTTGAAATAATCTTATGGAGTTCCACCATCAGTATATTTTAAAACAAGCATATTTTTCTAAAACAATTTCTACGTATAGAGTTATTTTTAGCATAACGTTAGCTTATAAATCACTTGCTTTGCTTTGTAAAAAGACAGTTCTTTTTATTTTTACCTATAGTGATTCCATAAAATCGAATAATGTTTGAGCTGTGATTAATTTATCAAGAGTTTCAACTATATAGATAAGAGAAGATTTTGATTAATTAAAAAGCATGAGTGCTAGCTAAATTATTCTTGAATAAATCTATACAAGAATCTTTATTTATATCAGTGAACCTTTTAAAATCAAAAATATTTGATTTTCTGATATTGCGGTTTCTAGTCATTTATCCACGCGTTAAAAGATAGTGATGTCATTTTTTGATTGCGTCGAATTAATAGGAAAAATGCAAGTCAACCCCCGAAATATCTAGATAATTTTAAATCCAGTTTATTAAGGAGTTTTCTATAACTGTCTTAAACCAACTTCGATTTGCAGCCGAGGCTCAATTTAAAGACTATACTATTTAAGGAAATCGCGAATTAGCGATTCTTTTTCTCAGATACGTAGTTATATAGAAATCGCGACATCTTGAAATTTGATTACCGATTCTGAGAAGATTATAATTCTCTTTAAAAGACAATAAATATAGACTGGTTTATATAAAAGATAATCGAATATTGCTATAATGTAAACTCAAAAAAAAATAATTGAATTTCTAGTCTAATGTTTATTATTACGATTGAATAAAATCCATTATCAATAACATGCTTTGAAATCTTTTTTCGTTTATTGATTTTTTCCGACACGTTTTTAATATATAAGACGTTTTTTATCTTCTTTGAAATATAGTTTATTAAACGATCAAAAATAGTATAGAATATTTTAAAACATTGAGACTCCATCTTTGTCTTGGCAGAGAAGTCACCGCGTATAACTCTTAGTAAAACAGTTGTTAGTAATACAGTCAATCCAATCAGTCCAATCAGATTAGGCACGTGCAACTAAGGGTGGAGGTCAGTTGAGGATCGGCAGTCAGGTCAGCAGCCGGAAGTTACTGTGTCTTGGTCCAGATTTTATAAATGCGTTCGTTTTTTATGGGCTGTGTTGGTAGATGTTCTTGTGTTATTTGTGTATTCGTTAGCTTGCATATGAGTGATTAATGATCAGCGATGCAAGTGGACGTTATTTATGCAGGCCACTGTATGTACGTACGTACATACATGTATTGATCGACTTTAGAATTGATTCTGAGAATCGATCCTAATCTTCAAGAATATTCTCAATTTTTGACCACAGAAAAATGCTAACGGTATTCAAGTCGTTATTTATGTAATAAAACATAATATGAGTCGTAACGCATAATTTCCTTTCTTTATCACAGATTGTGATGTAAAAAATTTGTTATTCAAATTTGCTATGATAAAATAATTATGAATATTGAAGGAAGAACACTTTTTACTCTTGATACGAAAGAAACTAATCTATTTTCGTTAATACACCTTGATTTTAGAATCATCTTCTCATTTATTTACTAGTATATTACATAAAATAATAATATCAAAAGTTAAACTGGATACTTCAAAGAAAAAAGATAGATGCTTAAAAATAGATCAACTTTTAGATGATTTTGAAGCATTCACAGACAAAAAGTTAACTAGGATCAAGAATTTACAGCGGCATACGAAATATGTAAGTTATGCAAATATGACTTTGTGATAGTTCTACTGAGCTTAAATGACTGGATATGGTGCTTGACATCTAAACTCATATCAATGAATCGTATTTATGTACTCAATAAATTTCTTTACTAAGAAATTTATTGAATTATAAATACAATTTATTGATGAGTTTAGACCAGGTGAACGTGTTTCAGCTCTGTAAAGTCTGTTGACAGAACTTATTCAAAATCATATATTTGTTGATGACGAAACAAAAGAAATAAATAATATCGTTTTTCAAATACACAAAAACAAAGGCGAGAACGTACACTAAGCTCGTCCCATATCCTCATCAAGAGGTTTGTTTAATAATATAGATAGATAACTAGAAATCATTTTTTGTTATCCACGAGCAACAGATGGAAGGATTATTTAATCTAAAAAGCTCAATAAACTTGGCAAGGAAAACCTAAAAAGGTGGACTTAAAGAAACTCAAGAAAAGTCCTTTTGGAGATACAAGAAAATCAATTTGGTAATATTCAAACTTTGCATCTCTTTAAAAAGATGTTAGAAAATTGAAAATATAATTGATCAAAAAAAATTTGTACCAATGTTTCCGCAAATATAAGTTTTAACTTTAGATAACCAAATACATGTACAAATAACTTTATCTGAAAAAGTTTAATTAGTAGCATATAACGAAAATGCTACACATAATGAGCAATTGTTTCAAACCGAACTAGTTCCTAGACTGGTTTCTGATCATTAACAGTATTAACTTCTAAATATAGACAAGTCAAATTGGATCAATTCATTACTTAAACTTGATTACGGTAAAGTAAAAATGATAGCAAATTTCATTAATTAAAGATCTTTTCACCAATAAATTAGCCATGCATTTATTGTTGTGTTAAAGGTATCATGTCTTTATAGAACTTCCATTTGTGTGTTTTATTTATTTTCATTGCCTTGTTAAAAGAATATCTAACGGAGTATGAATTTGTATTCCTATCGCTATACATATTTACAGTACAGTTAAAGTAGTTACCGTTATCATTATAAAAATTACGGATAAGTACACAAAATCACAAATAATGAATCGCTCAATATCTCATTATAAAGAAAGATGCTTTCGAAAGAGCGATCTAAAAATTGCATTAAAAAAAAAACAGAAAGTCATCTTCATGAATTCTGATGCTCATTTTTATATTTATTTATTCAACTTGATGTTCAACGGGAATTTTAATTAATCCATTGAAATTTCAACTTCTACCTAATTATTTTGACTCAAATGTAGAAAAATAAGATATTAACGTTAAAGAATAAGAAATTTTTATCTGATACGATAAATCAATAGTATAACCTAAGAATCTCATAAGTTAGTTTTTGTGGATAATATCATTTCTTATCAATAATTCAGAACTTCAGATGGAATAATTTCCAGAACGGAACAGGGCTAATAACGATAGTATAATTGATATTAATAACTCAGTGAATATGGATGCATGTGATTCTTCAAACTCAATAAAATAAATATTTTATCTTACAATAACTTTTTATAATAGTATTTATCATTATATTACATTTGATTTAATATAATGAAATATTCGTTCAAGCAAATGAGAAAAATAGCATGTCAAAAATAACATCACTAAACTTAGATTGTTTCAAAAATAAATGATGTCAGACTGATGAAACTAAATTACATTAGCATGTTATTTATAACAAAAAGCCTAAGGCAAACTATCGATATATCTTACTTTCAGGATTAATAAACAATAAAATCCTACTTTATCTTTATTGGCGCTAATATATTATCTGTATACATGTCCTAAATCAAAATTTTATTCGTACGAGTTGTTTTCCGTTACGTGCTGCCATTTTGTATAAATACAAGTCATTTTTCTGCTGCTCTCAACTTATTCAGCATTGAATCTCTCAAATCACAAACATAACACTACAAATATGTTCAAATTAGCTTTGAAACTCGTTCTTTCCCTTTATTTAGTTTCTGTAATTCACATTATTACTGAAATTAACGCCACAGAATCTTTACTCGTTGGTAATGACCATTATCAAGACATCAATGTTTTCAGATCGAATACGACAAATGAAATTTCGTACCCACCTTTTACAAATTTTCATCCGAAAGATCCCGAATCCAACAATAATGAACTTGAATCTGACGATACTCTATTCACGGATGACGTTGATGGTGACGACGATGATATAAACGCTGCACAACGTTTGACCCGAAGAGCTTTAATCCGAGCACGACGTCGATGTCAAAGCATTTGCGTAAATATATGCACCTATCGTCGTCGTTACCGTACTCGTCGAGCTCGTACACAATGTAGCACAATTTGTATTGAAGAATGTGTTCGCCGTTATAGAAGACGCTTTGCGAGAGAGGGTCTTAGAAAAGGAAAAGTGCCGAGAAGTGGAGCAGAGGAGGAAAAATTGGAATGAAATAATAGAATTGGCAGACATAGCAATAAATCTTTTTTAATATTATTATACTGTATGAGAGAGTCGTCGTTATATAATTGAATAAAATCCTAGTTAAAAACCATCAAAACTCGTAGTCTTCTAAAATTAAAAATCAAATCAAATAAATGATCTTTCAAGAATAAGAGTTTGTCTGATAATTAATATTTCCTTTTTTATCTGAAAATAGCTATGTTGCCATTTAACTACATGGATATTCAGATAATATTTTTTGCGAGAATATTTAAAGAAGAAATCAGAATTTGATTATTTTCACATGTTTCAAATAGTTGTGCAACTTATTGTTCCAGATAAAAAGAAAAAGCATTTTACAAAGCGAAATGATAATGTATAGACTATACAAAAATAATGTTTCAGAAACATGGAACTTGATAAAGTGACTATTGAAAATTATATCGATATAAAAGTGCACTTGCATTTCGAAAAATTAGGGTATGATTAAATTCACATTGTCTTTGAAAACACTGAGGAGTAGTTTTTTGAGTTAAATAATGATTAAAATATGAAATACTAAATATGAAGAATAATATTATTATAGTAAAAATTCGATTTGTTCGCTTAATTATTATTGAGTATAGCCAGCTTTCTAAAAAAAATAACGATAATTAGTTGATATCTGCCTTAGAATGCTTGCACATATACTAAATGTCACCAACACTAGAGATGCAGAATTTAAATCTATGTCTTGGTTATAAAAATCCGAATGTAATAAGAAATAATGATTATCTAATAAAAAAACCTGTGAGATATGAAAATTTCAAAAATAATTTATTTCTCCACCACTTGAACACTTCATAATCCGCAATGTTCAAATCCTTTGTTATATTATCAGAACTCAGCAAACAATGGTCGTAGGAGTATTTCGTACAGTAATGAATAGAATAGAAGTATTGAAAGCGGGACCATTCAGAGCTAAATCAGTACCATTTCCAAAACGCGGACCATGATTTGCATAGCATCTCACGCTCGACCCTTGTCATCAGAATTGAATTTAAATAAAAGCAATTTGGTACTGAATATTCTTGTTAAGCGAATTCCATTGAAATGATTATAACCGCCAATAATCTCTTTTACGTGAACGGTAACAACTGTTGGACCTCTATCATCACACCGACGATAAAAGTCAGTATTCACGAATACCTCTCACAGTAACAGTTTCAATTCAATTGATTTATTTTTGTTTATCAACTTGCTCTTTAATCCAGTCAATTATTTTCGAGATCTGATTCTGCGAAAGAATCGCTAGTTATGAGTTTGCGAACTGGGTGTAAGGTAGCTTTGTGTTCTTCGCTTCCTGGCCTGGTACCAAATAATGATGCAATAAATCTTTATGTAGTGTTCCCGGTAAACTTTCGGCATACGGTATAACTTTGTTATAAAAATCAACCGAATTGATGTGGAAGAAACGAATTAATGGTAAACAATTTTTGAGCGTAGATTTTAAGTTGCTTAAATTCGTTGTGTGACATTTTCTGTTGGAATCGTCAGATTAATTTCGCTAGCATCTGCTTGAGATTCGCTAGCATCTGCTTGAGATTCCTCGTTCAAGTACCTTTTCCCAAAGGTCGATTTCATTCAAATTTAGATCATCACGTTTAATTAAACAAACTAGTGTAGTGCTGATTCATTTAGCTTAGTAAAATCAGTTGATTGAAAAATAACAGCTGGATCTTTACACGCGACATCTATGCAAAATTTTTGAAGCTTGATAAAAGTATTATGCTCGAATGAAATTTGATTGATTAAAGATTTAGAATGTGTTCGATAAGATAAAATAAATTTAGAATCAACTCATCGGCTGCAACCAATAAATCCAAAAGTGTCGAAATACCATGATGTTACAATCAATTTTTCCATTATAAATATATCTATTAATATTTTAACAGATCTTGACTGTTACTTAAAAACGAAGTAATAACTTTAGCAATATTTCAAAAACTCGCGAAGTTCTGGCCACGTGATAATTTGTCGAGACATCAACGATACAAAAAGTAATGTTACCGTTACCGTAGTGACATTAAACCCTTTGATCCTGTAATTTTTACTTATAATTTCCACATGAATATCTTCCGTAATTTCCCTTGATAATTCCTACATGAAAATCCTTCCAAAAATTAGTTTCTTGTAAAATTTAGAAATATTTCATTATGAATGACCATTATCTTTTTTCTTGTGTCATGAACATCCCCATCGTTCTTCAATATTAATGCACGTAACGATAGTGATTATCAAGAAAACGACAATTATCTAGACAATTGAAAGGCATCATACAATTACTGCTTAATTACTTTTAGAAAGTTATAACAGAAACAATTAATGTAAAACACTAACCTTAGAATTAGCGTAGTAATTCAATCATGTATATAGAGGTGCTTCGAGCCTTCACAAAAACACACTTGGATCGAATAAAATAACAAAGTACTTACTTGTAGTATATTGCTTGTAAATACACTATTATTTTCTTTTGTTTTGTGATCAAACCTTGTGAGAAATTGCAAGTGGATGCTCCTCCACTCTAAATAAGTCGTCGATTTCTTTTGAATTATTATTTTGGATGGCCGTATCATAAGTCCTATTGAATTGATTTTGTTTGCTTAGACAGGCAGGCCGTATCAATAAGTCCTGTTGAATTAATTTTGTTTGCTTTGTACAGGCCGTACCAATAAGTCCTGTTGTATTTAGATTATTCTGATAGTCAAGAAATAACGATAGATAGAATTTTATTGTTTTATTATTGATTTTCTTTACAAGACTATTCGATTTGGAACGCCCCTAATATTAAAAAGGCTGATTTGCGTACAAGTCGCCACAGGAACCCTTTGATCGTAAATAATTTAGTCTAGCTCTCATCCCAGTTGCGAAAAACCCTTTTTGACCGATTATCGTGTCGAGACGCAACAGTAGTATCCCGGCCATGGCGAAAAATAGTGTCAATCACGTGCTTCCGATTACATATCCTCCTTAAAATTATGCATCTATCAAATCGCAAGATCAATGTGTAACGCAAAAAATTGAAAACAAACACTTTTCTGTATCTTTAAATTTTACTTATGAAACAATAATTATGTTCTAACAAAAAGTGTTCATTGCGAAATTTTACTATATACATGTGCTACGCTCCGTTTGCTATATAATAACCTTAACCCTAAACCTAATCCAAACCGAAATTATGCATTATAATTAAGAGGGATATCGGATGTTCGGCATTGTGATCAGAATCACGTGATCGACACTTTTTACATGTATTAATAGTAGCCTATCCATGGTAAAAAAGGTGTCGGGTCATGTGATCTGAAATAGCTCCATTAAAACATCCGATTAATATTAGATATCAAGTATTAGGGTTAGGGTTAGATTTAAGATCAAGGTTATATATAAAATTTGCTTTTTGACATTTTTTTGATAATGCGATAAGCTAGATTTAGATATTTGATTTTTGTATTTTTCGCATTTTTGTCTTTTCTTATTTTCTTGTGCCGGATTTGTTTTGCCGGGTTGATCAAAAATTTGCAACATTCCTATTGGTTGTATTGGTTTTATCATCACGTGACCCGACACCTATTTTTTGCCATGGCTAGGGTACTTCATAGCTAGGGTCTACGTATATACTTTCTTTGTCATACAGTAAATCCCCTTTATACATGCAGTAGTTATAGCGTTAGATCGACAATACGTTTGTTTTATAACACATCTAGAGAAAATTAACTCTAAGGATTATTGTTAAAATTAACTAAAAAAAATGACACCTGACTTGTTATTAACTTCGCATTTAAACAGGCTCGATAAATTCTATGAAAATTCCAACTATTGTGACATTTCAATAATTGTTGGTGAAAACAAGAATGATCAACGTACTTTTTCAGCCCACTCGGCAATATTGGTGGCGCAGTCAAAATATTTTGCGGTAGCACTTTCCGATGCATGGATGAAGCGAGAACCGAACAAAATGATTGTCTTTAGGAAACCAAATATCGAACCGCGAGTTTTTGAAACATTGTTAAGGTAATTTTATGTCAAAAACGAAGCAATACTGTTAAATAAAATAACAATCAAAATCTGATTTAAAATTTTAATAGATATATTTATAGTGGAAAAATTGATTTGCAAAATCATGGCGTCTCGACACTTTTGGATTTATTAGTTGCAGCCGATGAATTAATTCTCATGGATCTGATTGAATATGTCCAAATTTATCT